GGACCAGGGGTGGGTAACACATCTGAAGGTCACTTTGGAGGCATGATTGTGGGGTGGTGGAGGAGGGGAGAAAGGTGAGAGAAGGTAAAGGTCACTTTGGTTTCCAACTTGGGTGTTTGAATAGATGGTAGAAACATTAATGTTCAAGAATCATCCATGTGGAAAAGCAGGGATTAAATAAGAAAAAGCAAATTTTCCTAAATCCAGGAAATATAAAATGCACCATTAGATAAGAATAATTATATGGTTTCTCAGTATGTCCGTTTGAACCTCCAAACACCCACAGAGTTGATAGGAAGGAATGAATGAGAATGTGTACTTAACACTAAAATGAAAAACAAAGGTCAACAGAAACATAGAGAAAATTGTTTGGAAAGGTTTTTATCTTACCATAAAAGTGAAACCATTTGCAGCATTTCAGCATAGAAGGGAGGGAGCTGGCAAACGTGGTGGGCAGGGGTGAGAGGGCTGGCAGGGCTGAAGCAGGCCTGGGAGCCTGTGCAGCCCCTGCCTGCGTGGAGCACGGCCCTCATTGCCTCCCAGTTATTGCACTGCAGGAGTGGCATGGGGAAGAACAAAATAGGAACAAAATAGGAACAAAATGCACCAAATGAAACCACTAAAAAAAAAAAAAATCTGCTTTTGTTTGTCTTCTCAGTCTCAGCCCGCGCTCCTCTTGAATTCCATCATTATCCTTCTATCTCCAATTGTGCTAGTGTATTTTTCTCCAATTAAAACTAGTCTATTTGAGGCTGATCCCTTAATTATTACATTAGAGGGCAGGAGAACTTTATAGGGGATGCTTCTGAAATTTCGGGTGGTGACAAGTTGTGATTATGGCAGAATGGTTTGCCATTGCAGAGTGGCTCTTGCTCTAGGAAATAGCCCCAAAGCTCTCTGGTTTTTTGGCTTTTAGATCAGCGTGTTCACAAAGTTGTCTCAGTCAATCATTAAAAAGCCCTGAAACACTGCAGACCTTTTGGACTACAGATTGGAATATAGTTGCAAAGAAGGAGATTTACTGTGTCTGAATGCAAAACTAATCAACTCAGAATGACAATTTCATATGGTTATGCCCATGATAACTTTGTTTTACTTCTTTCATCTCTTCTGAGTATATGGGATGTCATTAATGTTACCAGCTGCATGACTTTCTCTGAATACCAACAGCAGAGGGGAAAAAAAACAACTACCCTCAACAGCCGTTGGCTCTCCTGTTTTCTACTTAGAGCGCTGTTATACTGCCAAGGCAAATGCGAAACAGGCTCCCACAATAACAGCAATTTCCCAAATGCCCTGTTAATTTTCAGTAAACCAAAATAAAATGTGTTATTATTTATTAAGAATATGCACTACATACGGTTTCCAGATGATAAGTATTTCAGTAAAGTACCACATTGAGAACAATTTGAGTTGGCTTGCAAGCTGTAACCTTAGAGTAATGGGTATAGCCCAGGGTCAGAATTGTCACTTTTATTGGGTTAATTCAATGTTCATGGTTTACAGACTATGATATAGGACCAGTGAAAAGTTTTTGCATTCCCAGTATCAGCTGCATAATACATATAATTTTACGTGGAAGAGTAGCATCCCATATATCATTATTTATTCATAATGACATTTACTAAACAACTGCATGGCATAGGATGATAGTGTAGTCTGGAGTACAGAATATGGAGCACACATTCCAAACACTGGGTCTGAGACAACTCCTTCAATTATATTAACTTTAGAAGCACAAAGTAGAAAAATAAAATTTCACAGTGTAAGGCAGCATGTCATTATTTCATAAATAGAATATGAAAATTTGAAGGATCTCAGGTTTGGGAAAGGATTTGGGCTCCCTTTAGAGTAGTTAATACATATGTTGGGAATCTTTTCTGTGACACTGGACCTTGACTCTCCAAGGGAATTATGGGGGTCCCGATCTAACCTCTGCTTCCTAGAACCTTCCAAGCCCCGAGGAGAGGAGAGCTGTGTCTGGCCAGGACTCTGGCAATCACAGGGCATGCTGTGGATCTGGCCCGTGCCAGACCTCTTGTGAGGGCTGCCTGCTTCGGCTTCATTTGCTGTCCTGTGTGCTTCGAGGTTCACACAGCCGGGTCTGTGATTTCCTAACCTAATGCAGCCCGGGCTAGGGAGGACTTAGCCGCAGTTCCTGCTCTCCCCCGGTGGCCTTATAGTTAGATGTTTGCCCAGACCCAGGTCTGACACCCTGCAAAGAGCTCTGGGCTGTGTCACCACCTCCCGCCCTAAGGTCAAACCCTTCTGTTCTCACAGTTTCAGGTCACTGAATTAGAATTCCAGTATAGTTTAGGCTGTTTGCCTTAAAGAAAAGGAAGTTACAGGGCTTTTTAAAAATTACACATAAAATACATATTCACTTAGGAAAACCAGAAAAGCCCCTCCCCTCAATTACACAAATTCCCACTGTCTAGTGATAACGATCACTAACATTTCAAGGTTTATTTTTCATGAATTTTTTTCTGCAATATATATAAAAACTTACCTTTTTTAAGAAAATGAGATTCTGTATATACGCGCATATATAAATATATATATAGTTTTATAACTTTTTCTTGCATGAGCATAGTTCCATATAAAAATATATTCTACGACATTATTTTTAATGGTTGCTTAGTAGTTTAATTTACTTTAAATACGTTTTCAAAATTGAAAATTTAAGAAGAATGTATTGTTTCACATCCATTGCTTTTATTACATCATCTGATTCTTCCCAGTTCTTCTGCCTGAAGCCTTATGGTGGGTGTCTCTGACTCCCAATGGGATTATTGTTCTTATAGTACAATGCATAGGGCAATCATCCCTGGCACTTGTTTGACATGTATTTTCCCAGGTCCTAACCCGAGGAATTTTGGGGTGAGTTTCTGGACTTTTAAGAGTTCTTGAAATGATTTTGCTTCAGCATTCTTCAGACCACGTTGTAAGCAACATTGCCCCAATAGAGCCCCATTCCCTGGTGCCCCACAGGCTTCACCTGATAGTCCTCTGCCAGGACACCCTCCCTGCACAGTGGCCTGGAAAGAGCCTTCTCATCTCAGCGCTCAATTTGCCTGAGGGTAACCGGTTGTTACCCTCAGGAAGCTCGCAGTCCAATGAGGAGGTGGCAATTAGAAAAAGAGAGATACTTATGAGTGTCAAACATGCACAAAGGAGTGAGGGTCTAACCCAGGAAAAGCTCACCTGTGAAATTCAGAAGTGTCAATGAAGTTTTAGGATATGCCAGCCATTATTGACCCTGAATATAGGGAGGTGGCTTGGGAGGCTGAAGGGAAGCTAGTGTCACCAGGGGGCCTCCAGGAGTCCTTTAATACAATCAATGGAAGTTGGTTAAGAGAAAAGGAATAAGATAAAACGTGATCTAATGGGATCTTGCTCATGGGTGGCTATGGAAGAAATTAGAGCAATTGTCTCATAAATATGAGATTCTTAGGTGATTTCTTTTTTGCATTAGAAAAGTTTTTGTCTTTTAATAAAGCTAGAGATTCTATGGACCCTAAATTCTATATAATGCAAGAAATAATTTTTCAAAGGTAGAATTTGAAACATAACAGGCTGGTGGAGAAAGGTTGTTTGTAGTCCAGGGACCTTATTAATACACATAATAATAGCTAACATTTATTGAGCTTGTATCATACAAATTGCCTTATTTAATTTTGACAAAGTCACCTTATGAGGTAAATACAATCATTCATTCCATTTTGGAGTTGAGGAAAAACAGGCACAGAGAAGCTAAATAACTTGTCTAAAGTCACACAGCTAGTAAGTGCATACTTGGACTTGACTCCAAGCACCCTGGCTCCACTAACTACGTGCTTCAGCCCTTTGTTGTGCTTCTTTGTTGTGCTGTGCACTAATAGCACAGGGTCTTCCCTGCCTCATCTAAGTGAGCCCAATCCCTGCACTGTTATCACTCAGATGTTATCTCCCAAAGGACAGATATATTCTTGTCTACCAGTAGCTTTTTGTTTGTCAGAGGTACAGATGGGGTGGCACATTGATGAGGAGAGGCCCGGAGTGTCCACGCCCTAGCCTGGCACCTCTTCTTGTCTCACTGCTGTGCTGTTTCCTTGAAGTTACCTGCAATCTGGGATGTGTTGGAGAAGGTAGACATGTTTCACTTTCTTCATTTCTGGAGCAGTATGGGAGGAAAGCAAGGGCGTGGGGGTGAGCAGGTAAGTGTTCCGTGACACTACCTCCAGGGTACTCCTGGGAGTTCGGTGGCTTCCCCACACAGTCCCTTCCTCCCTGCCTCTTACTTACTATCCCTCTTGAGGTAGTGAGGAGGTAGTAGAAGAGAATACAACTAAATTTGTGGATTTAATTCTAGTCTCAATCCCACAAGTGTTGTGTGTGCATATATTGGCTGTGTCTTTGGGTGGCATGAACATATAGAAAGAAAGGAAACATGATCTATCCAAAATACTGTATCTTTTACTTGCTGTGTAGCTCTCTGGAATGATGCTAATTTTATTTAAACCTTAATAATCTCTTATCTGCTTGAAGAATATGTATATTTAAAGAACCATCATTCTCTCAAACTGTAGCTCAGTGAAAGGAAGGAAACTGTAGTTAAATGAATAATCGAAACCTAACATGTCAACATACAACCAGAAACCAATATACAGGCTTCTGACTTCCTCTACTTTAAGAAAACAGCTGTCTGACAGGTGACTGTAACATTTCAGAGGGGCATAATCTACAGATACCCCCCCATGAGTAACTGACTGGTCAAATGATTGGAAGATAAAACGAAGAGGAAACCTCCTGCAGTCGCTGGAGAGGTGGGGGCGCTTTCATCTCCCCCCATCACACACCTACTTTGTCGGAGCTGCGAGCATGCTCTCTCACCTGTCTGCCCCGGAACACAATTGCATTCCGGAGGCTCCACTTTAATGCTGCCGGGTGGCCTCTCTCTTCTTCAGCAAGCACTTGGAGCTCTTCTTGAAATTAAATGGTGACCTCTCACTTATTTTCAGGTCTAACACCAGGCTGGCTGTGATCCTGCACCAACACTTGTCTCCTGATTCAAGTAATCAACAACCTGGGGTTCATCAGTAGCTGGAAGGAGGACTTCGCTCCTCTGTACTTGTCATCAAAGCCAGAGGAGCTCACTTTCCTCGGGGCAACATCTGGCTGGAATTTATATGGTGGGCATGGAAATATGATTTTCTAGATATTATGATTTCTTTGCTTTGGCATTGCTGAAAATGGCACCCCGCCACTACCAGAAACTAACCATGTCATTCTCCTCATGTCAACAAGCTTCTTGCCAATAATGATTTCCTGTCATTCCTTCCCTATTTCAGAAGGGGTGGTGCTCCACTGGCAGGACACTTCAGGAAAGAATCACATCAGCTGGGCAGCTCTTGAGGCAGGGAGTTCTATGCCAGAGGAACCCCCTCTTTGGGATTCTTTGCTACACTGAGGACTACATCTGTGCTCCCTACATTGGAAGCCTCACCAACAGCGCCTTCCATAATCCCCCACGATGCGGCCCTCACTCCCGCACCCACTGCTGACATGCTCCGGTCTTCCACGTGCAACCCACAGCAATCCTGGCTCAGTTGCTGCACTCACCATCTGCCCTTCCTTTGGTTACTGTCGATGGGTCCCTACTTCCTGGTGCTAGCTCTCTTCCTTTGCTTTCCAGGTCATTGGACTTCTTTGATCACTTTAATTTTTCTCTTTGGTTTCTTCTTGTTTCTTCTTGTTTCTTCTCTGCTTCCTCTTCTTCCTTTGGCTTCCTATCTCTGGGCCATGCAGGCTCCAAAGAACTCTGTCCTCAGGCCCTCTCCCTCTGCTCACTCTGAGAGTTAACCCATACTCACAGGTTTAATACCAACTCAGTGATTAAAATTATATAAGCATATAGTTTATGGAGAAAAGTATTTCTACAAAGCTTGACAAAATTCCCTGAAGAAAACCCCACAAGTTCTGTCATTTCCTATTTGTGGAACCACAGTCAATTCTTTTAGCTGATTTCTTTTTTGTCATTTAATTATCATAAAAATCTCTAAAAATCATGTTTATATTGCTATTTCTTTCTTTTTTATTTTTTAAGGTCTTAGCTATTGGCTTCCAATGTAGGTGCTGAAGATTCATCGTCCTTTCACATAGACCATATTATACCTATACATATTTCTCTTCTCTCTAGTCTTCCAAAGGAGTCATTTGGTAATTTGGGTTAAATGAATAATCAGTGTTTATATTTGACTATGAAAATGCTACTCACAGCAGAAATAGATAAGAGCCCAAGATTATTTTAAGAGACCACATGGAGTAATAGTTAAAAGAACAGCTTCTGGAGCCCAGCTGCCTGGATTCAAATGCCAAGGACAGTACTTACTATCAGGAGCTTGGGTGAGCTGCTTAACATCTCTGCAACAATTTTTCAAACTGTTGAATTAAGTAATCATAGTACCTACGATGTCGGTTTATTGTAATGATTAATAGTTAATAATTTAATAAATATAAAATTAATAAATATAAAGATTGGCCACTAGCTATCATAAGGCTACATCATCCTTATAGCTTCTGTCCCAGAGAAAAAGAGAGAGGCTTTCTTTCCATTTCTTTGTAGATCAGCATCCATGGATTATATCCTACATTCCTTGGAATAATCACAATATGGAATTCTGTCTGTATCTGGCCAGACATGAGTCCAAACTGTACAGGCAGAAAATAATTTGGCCTCTGCAATGTATTGAAAGATATTTACCATCAGAAGAATGTGAGATGTCAGGGTTATTTAAGGCAGAGTCTTGTGGGGGATGTTAAGCATTTGGAATTTATGCTAACTGCAATGAGAAATTATTGATGGATTTTAATCAGGAAGTAACATAAGGACTGTTAATTACTGTTAATCTGATCCAAACTTTCAAATCAAATCACTTTTCCAGTCCCCTTACCTGTGTCAGCAGTGCCATTGTCTTCCTGCTGCCTTAGGTTTACATTTTGTAGTCATCTTTGAGGTCTCCCTCAAATTTATCACCCATGTAAAATTAATCACTAACTTGGATAGGTTTTCCCTTCCTGATTTCCCTTCCCTCTTGGATTGGTCCCTGCTTCTGCTTCAAGTATATTGTCACGTCCTTGCAAGCTCTTATCACCTTGGACTTGAATTCTTGTGATAGTCCGTTAACTGGCATCTCTTCTATTTTCTCCCTGCTTCTATGTCATCGCACATGGCGCTGTCAGATAGTTCTTTTGAAAATACCACTATCTTCTTGTCAGTCCTCCATCCAGGAGCCTGTGGTGGTTTCCTATCATTTAATGAATCACGCCCAAACCCTTCAGCCCAGCATCCAGAGCCTTCCATCACCTGGCTTTGCTGTGCCTATCTGGTCTTATCTTCCCATTATTCCTAGGCCACAATAAGGCTACCTGGGCCCTGACTCCCCAACTCTTCCAGTCCGCGAGTGTGGGGAGATGAGCTGTTATAAATCGCTTTGCAGACAGAAGAGGATAGAAGCCGGAGGAGGAGAAGGAAGAATGAGAGCCATTAGAATGAGCCACAACTGTGTTAGATAAAGCAGGGCTGACGATGTAGGTGTGTGGCTAACCTGAACTTGAAGGTGTGGTCAAGAGAGCCTGTCTAAGCATTGTGGGCAGATGTTGGTGCCCTGCAGAAATGTCAAACTGTGTGTTTGCAAGGTGAGGCACTGGCTGGAAGGGGGATATTTGCTTAGGCAAGCCTTTCCAGGTTGTAATATCCACTCCCTCTTACATATGTGTGGGCTAACTCACAGGTTTCTGGGAACTTGCCCAGACTTTTCAGGGTCAATTGGTGCTGCAGAGAAATGATGGATTATCCAGAGAGGTGTGAATAGTGTCAGGAAACAAGATCAACCCGGGTGGGATCTCATTACTTATTTTTGCTCAAGTAGCTTTTTGGTGGGGGTTTGGGGTGGTGTTTGTAATCTGCAGAAATAAAGTGCTATTACAGTGGGAAGGGAATCTGGCAACTTTTAAAAGTCTGCTAAAGTTTGGAGGGGAGTTGGGTAAAAGATTTGTATCTAAATCCCAAGAAGAAAGAAAAGTTTAAAAATTTAGTACAGAATCATAATTGTCTCTACCTGGGAGTGATTTAGTTAACTGCTTATTATAGTATCAATTACTAGGTACCATGGGTGGACATAATTGATTCAAATTTTATAATAATTTCTATTATACTTGAAGTTTGTTTTGCAAAAGATGGCATTTGTACTAGATTTTAAGGAGTAGAAAAGTTTTATCCATCCAAGAGAAAATTTTAAAAAAATTATGATACAAAGGCCACAGTGATTTGGTGACAGGAAGAATGATGGCTCCCCGAAGATGTCCACACCTTAATCCCTGGAACCTGTGAGCCTTAGCGTACATGGAAGAAAGAACTTAACAGCTGCGATTGAGGCTACAGGCCTTGAGGTGTGGAGATTAGCCTATGATACCCAGGTGAGCCCATCTGATCACATGAGTCTTTACAATTAGAGCAGCTTTCCCAGCTGGGGTTTAGTCAGCAAGAGGTGTGACCGTGGGAAAGTATCTGAGAGATGCAGTGTTGCTGACTTTGAAGATAGAGGAAGGGGGTCTTGAGCCAAGCCATGTGGGAGGCCTCAGCAATCTGAAGAGACAAGGAAACAGATTCTCCTCCAGAGCTCACAGAAAGGAGCACAACACTGCCACACCTTGATTTTAGCCCAGCGAGATCTGTGTTGAACCTCTGGCCTATAAAACTGTAAGTTAGTAAGTTTGTGGTAATTTTATATGGCAGACATAAACACTAATGCAAATCCTGTGGTAAATATATTTTGAATGGTTGGAATTAGTCTAAGGAATCCCCAAGAGAATCAGGTAAACAGGCCTTTTCTGTTTGGGTGCGTCCTTAAATGTACTTTTAATTAGTGACTCATTTTTTAAACTAACATTTATTGAGCACTTACAATGTACTAGGCACTCTTCTATGTTCTTGTATTAAGTCCTCACAGTAACTGTTTGAAATCAGTACTATTAGTTGGTGAAGTGATCTTTCCAAAGTCATATGTTCGGTAAATGGATGAGCTGAGTGTTGAACTTGGGAAGCCACAGAATTCATTTGGTTAGTTACTGTGACATTGGTTCCCAAACTTAACTGTACATTAAAATTACTTGGCAAGTTTTTACAAATCCCCAAGTGTAGATTATATCCCCTACCAGTAAAATCAGCACGTTTGAATTGGGAGTGAGGCATCAGTATTTTTTGAAGATCCCCGTGGTTTCAATATGCAGCAAAGTTTGGGAACTGCTGCATCTTGCCTCTCAAATTACAAGATAAATTTAGTTATTCATTCCATCTAATAGAAAGGGTTAAAACTCCGTTTGCTTAAAAATACAATACAAATTACCTTTGACTCTAAGTTGGTGGTTTTATCGTAGTTGGTACAACAACTGTCATTGGTTGGTTAAAAGGGCACTTGTTAGTTAATCCGAAGACTACAGTGGAATTGATTGTGCATGTAGACACAATTTGGAGTGTCAGTCAAAATAATGGAGGGCCAGGAGTGGGGAAACCTTTCCCAAAATCAGACAAGAAGGAGAAAGAAACAAAGATCTTTATCTGGTCTCTAAAGCCAGAAGAGAATGGAGAGCTGCCAGATGAGATCTGTGATCAAACTGCCTGTCTGGACATTGTGTCACCACTTTTGTTAAACGTCTGTGTGCTTTTATGTGTCTTCAGCCTTCGTCAGAGGCAGCTGTGCTCCTTCAGTAAGCCTGGCACTGTGCCCGAGAGCCTAGATTTTCTCTATTTTGCCACACCTTGGCTTCCTTGCGCCACACTGGACAGTGTCTCCAGGGTCACCAATCTCATTAGCATGGGTAGCATCCCCTTCTGGTTGGGGAACAGACTGTAAGTTGGAGCACTGTTGGAATTTTGGCTTCAGTCTCTCGCCTCCATGGTGGCAGATGACTGTTTTTCCCTTTAAATGGTATTTCCACGAGGTTCATTACCCAACTTCCCCTCGGGCAGGACAGGCGCTCTGTGTTTCTTAATCTGCTGCAAAACTTCTTAACTTTCTCAATTAGTTTTGAAAACAGAAATTGGTTCGGCAAGTTTCAGCTGGAAACAGGTGTTGATGATGGTGTCCAAATCTTCAATTGAGGTTCTTCTCCTCCCTTTGCCAGGCTTTGCATGGGAGTAATGAGCAGGCCTACAGTTGGATGGAGCAGATGCACGTCTCCGCATGGGCCAGAGCTCTCGGTTCAAATCACAGGCTTGCCGAGAATCATCACCGAGATGAGAATCATAAATTAAAATGCACTTTTGTCTCACTGGTAATAATCGCAGACCCCGGTACATCATTTATTTGTATACGCTAAGCCATACACTTGCTTCAGCCAGGATTACCTCAGGAGCCCTCACTAAACACAAGGCAGTCTTTTTGGCTTGAGCTCTCCCAGTTGGCTATATGCTCTTTGCAATTGCACCAGAATGTTGCCAACACTGCTCCGACGTGTGCTGTGTAGATGTGGAAATAAAATAGCTAAGTCAAAAGAATGAGAGAAGTAATTTCACAAATTTTGCAGGATCAGCATTATTGGTTTTCTCTCGGATTCACTCACCTTGGTAAATATTACAGATTATAATCTGATTTTCTTTTTATTGATTCCTATTTACTTTTTGAGTTTTTCAGTTGGTCAAGAAAGGAACTTGGAGTTAAGAGGGATTACTCCAAACATGATTACAGTCTAAGTGGAGCAGGGACCTTATTGTTTATCTAGGGGAATCATATAACAGGAACAGGCAGAAATACCAGCTAAGAAGTCATCTGGGGGCAATTACATAAAGCTCTGTGTTCACATCACACAACATTGTTGTTAAATCCTATTCTATGCCTTGCATTTTTTCAAGGAATTATAAGGTTTTCTCCTTCCCTGGAGATAATTTCACACCGCTTACAGACATGTGTGAGTGCATGAAAACACACACACACACACACACAACACACACACACGCTTATCAGCCAGTATCAGTAAATGACCAAAGCCCTGAGGAAATTATTGAAAAATTAAATTTGGTTATAGCACAATAGTATCTGTAATGTATTGGCTACTTATCCATGTTTATAAATAGGACACAAAAGCTTAATTTTATCATAATTGAAGAGCAATTTTGAGAATGTTATGTAATTTAATGGTTTAGCTGTCTTTTATTGCTATATGTAAATGGACTAAACAGCAATAAATGTTGAACACAATCTAATGCACTACAATTTCTTTGGAACACAATTTAAATTTCAAATTATGTTTAATGCTTTTGTATATATATCACAGGTCTCTTTTTTAAAGCTTATCACATGGAATTGATTTACTCAAGGAAACCAGCATTTGGAAAAAAAAAAAAAAAAAACACAAGTAGAGTGGGAATCTTTTGGAAATCTGACCAAATATGCCAGAAAAAAGTACGTCATTTACTTTTAAATATCTTTTCCTTCTATTATTTTGAACTTCATCAGTGTCTTCCTGTATTATATATTTAGATAATCTCTGAATAAGACAACTTTTTCCAATTGCATTGTATTGTTTGACCTCTAACATTTCCTTTTTCTTTTGTATAATTAGGCTTAATAAGAGAGGTGATATATAATAAGACACAATGTACGTATAGGTTAGGCCACTTATTCCTGATATAATGATTCACTCATTGGCATCTGCCCTTGGTCCTATGTTCATATCCATGCCAACATATCCTTCTGCATGAAATAATGTTCAATGGAAGAAGGGAAAAATGTTGTTCTTTCTGGATCCCATCTGACTTCAGAATGTTACAATTAAGATACAGATATGAAAGTCAGATATGGAGGTTATCTTTGGAGAGGCAGCGTCAGAAGGCTTTGATGAGATTTTAAAATGGGGTGCCAGAAGTAAGCCAGGGTGTCTAACCTGTATTCCCTTGGGCCCTCAGCAACAGGAGAGAATCACTCTATAAATTAACTCATTTGTGAAATTTGTAAATTTTAGAAGGAAAGCATTCAACGTATATTGCACACACATATACTGTGGACCTCATGAAATTTTATTTTTTAAAAATTTCAGTTTTCTGTTCATAGGAAGACTTCAAACAAAATTAAGAAAATATGGAAACAAACTTGGGGTAGTTTAAAAATAAATTTACAAATCTACTATAATGAAATTATTACCAAATTTACCAGCATATTATTATTAATTCCCAATAGAATGACAGGCAACCTCTTATTTATCTTATATCCCTTACCTCCTCAGGGTGGAGCCTTTTACCTTCCGACATCTTTTTCAATTCTCAGGGAGTTTGGTTAAATGAAGAGGTCTCATTCGTTGTTTGTGAACTCATCCTTACTGTGTACCAGACTTAAATGCCAAAGTCAAAGGGGAATAGAACTCACAGGCATATGAAGAGGACAAATAGTAAACAAATAATTATATAATTACACCAAATTTCTTAATGGAGGTTGAAAGGTTGGAGTAAGAAGAAGGGCCTTGCTCCTTTCTCGGTTCCTGTTGACTTGAACCCAGCTTCTTCACCTTGGCAACAGCAGTTCGTCCCAGTGGCCACAGATGACTCCAATTCACAGTTTTTCTGAAACTCACAGAAGAAGTCTCATTTTTCCCCAGTACCAGTGCCCCTCCTAGCTCTGTTTCCTTTACCTTTGAGCTTCTAAGTTTTAATAATCTAAGTTTTAAACCTTTCCCTTTGTTTTCTGGGAGTGTTAGTTGCTTCCTGTAATGCCTACCTCTGTGATACCTTCGTGTTCTGGGTTTGCCTTTTCAGTTCTCCAAAACCCAATTAACAACCTTTGTATTAAATGCTCTTTTAAAATAATTGGGATAGTGAAATCTGACTGAAATCTCTCTGATACAGTTGGCAAAACTCTAACATTAATCACATGTACGTGTATTTTCTCCTAAAGACCTCCCTGGATCCTCTTTAAGGGTTGAGAATGACATATTCAGGGTATCTGGAATGGTGTACAATAATACTTTTTAAAATAGTCATAAGAACAGGCATGTTTATGGAAATATAAACCCTTGACTATAAAATGACTCAAGTAATGAGCATGTGAAAGGTGTTTTTAAGGCCATGGAAGCCTAATGGGAGAGACAACTGGATAGATAATGGAAAATTCATTATTCCCTAACTTAGTTTTACTTGCTAGTTCACAGAAACTTTATCTATTAACTTTGGCCCTCTTCTGGCTTTGGGTGAGTGGAGCCCAAAGACGAATATTAAGCCCTAACAAAAATGCAGGAGTAGTACTGAAAATAGGAAATGAAACAAATGTTAACTGACACAGTTAAAGAGAATTAGAGCAGTGATCCAGGCTATTGTTGGAAATATATAACAACTTTTGTTATGCCTTAGTGCTTGGGTGCTTTTGGAATGCTGAGTAACTTCTTTGACTACCTTGACACTATTTGTCTGCCTTTTTGCCCCATTATTGCTGCAGCATTGGACTCTAGCATTAGCAACTGCTCTATACCCCTTCATTCCTCCCTTACAACTCCAGGGTTTTGAATTTAATGCTAGTTCCTGTCCCCTCACAGTCTATCTTATTTGGTCACAGGTAATTGAATAGGGTAATTGGATAATTTCTCTGATGAGTTCTACATTCAAAAGTCTATCTTCATGGGAATATCCCAGTATTACATGTTGCTTATTATACACTATCAGTTGGTGATAAATATTGTTTAAAAAAGCAAACCAGGATAAGGGTGTGGAGAATAACAGGGATGTTATTTCAACTAGATGCTTACTAAAGGTCTGGCTGATGACAAGACATTTGGGCAGAGACTTAAATGAGACACAAAATCCACATGTTGCAAAGATCAAGTGGAAGACCATTCCAGGCAGATGAAATAGCACATGCAAAGGCCTAAGGTGTACATGATCTTAGACTATTTGAGAAAGTGCAAAGATGCTATGGAATTTAAATGGAGAGAGTGAGGGGTTGATGATGGGAGATGGTATTAAAAAGATAGTGAGAGATAAGTCATATAGGACAGTGTTCCCCAATCTTTTTGGCACCAAGGACCAGTTTCATGGAAGACAATTTTTCCATGGACCAGGGGTGTGGTGGTGATGCGGCCCAGTTCCTAGCAGGCTGCATACCAGTACTGTTCCACAGCTAAGGGTTGGGGACTGCAGATGTAGGACATTGCAGGTCATGGTAAGAATTTTGGATTTACTTTTCAGGGTAGGAAAAGCCACTGGAGAGTGTTGAGTAGGGAAGTGATGTGCTGTGAGTTGTTTTTACAGGACGACTCTGACTTCTGTATGGAGAATAGACTGTGGGTTTCAGAAGTCAAGATGAGGTAGAATGTCATTGTCACTGACTTGGTGAGGAAATAGCATGGTTTGTAATATGGTAGTTGTGATGAAGATGTGGAGGAGAGGTTGCTGACCGACCTTATTGATGGTTTAGATGTGAGCCTCCAAGAGCCACTGACCAACTGGTCGAACAATGTACCAGTTAATGAAATGAAGAACTCTGTTGAGGAAGCAGAGTGTACATGTACACATACACACACACAAATACACACACACACACACACACACACATGTGCATGGTGTAGGAAAATAATATGTTTGAGATCTTATTTGATATTCAAGTGTATACATGCAGTTAGTTAGATATGCCAGTTGAATGCTCGGTGGAGGAGGTTTGGATTAGAGTCTAAATGTGCAGATGTAGGGACAGGAGATACTACTAGGTGATACTGGAAGCTGTGTGATGTGTGTGATAAGATTGTCTAGGAGATACGTGTAGAAATAGAATAAAAAAGTAAAAAAAACTGAGACCTGGGGTGCTTTAACAGTTAAAAGTCATGAAGAGAAGGAGGCTGTGGGGGAGACTGAGAGAATAGCTCAGAGAGGCAGAAGAAAATCTAAGAGTGGGGTATTAAAAAGCCTATGTAACTACAAATGGAGCTTCAAGAAAAACAGAGTGGCCACCTGTGCCAGATACTACTGAGGGGTCAGGTGAATTTATAGTGGTGCATTGACCATTGATTTAGCAATGTGGAGTCAGCAACCAATACAAGACAATATATGAGTGGAGACAAAAGCCTGACTGGTGCTTATTAAAGAGAGAATAGGAGATTGAGAAACAGTTAGTATAGTTAAATTTTTAAAGAGTTGTCTTTAAAGAGCATCAGAGAAATAGCTCAATGAGTTGATTAAGAGAATATTTCCTGTATTTTAAGGTGGCAGATATGTATAATTTTATGCCTGTGAAAAGGATTTCGAAAGGGGGCGAGAATTAATGATTAGGAGACAAATAAAGGGTCTAGGAACAAAGTCCTTGAATAGGTAAGTGGGGATGAAACAGAATATTACCATGTAGGAGTTTGCCTTTCATGCCTGGATAAAAGAAGACAGTATATAGAAAGTCCTATTTTACCAGGGATATGAATTTGCTAAGTAATTTTGACAGAATAAAAGACAGGTAGGGGAGCACAGGTGTGTGTAAGGGAATGGTTGTAATCATGGTCCATGGAATGTCATGAAAGTGGGTAAAGAAGGAAGTGAGAATATAACAGCATAATAGTGAAATGGTGGCTTGGTCAGTATTTTCAAGGTCCTGGAGGGGTCAAATGATTGTGTGAACATAGTATAACATTTTGAGGTAATATGGTTATTGCTGTGAACATAGAGGAGGGGGCCTAATACAGGAAGAAGACAAGGTTACTGGAGACCAAGATGTCAAGGACTTTACAGGAATTGAGTCTCCTTTGAATGTATAGTTATTGGATAAAGATGACAAGAGAGGCAGTGGAGAGAAAGGCAGTAAGCCATATGCTCCAATATTCACTGAATTAAAAAGAGTGACCAGGAAATTGGTAGAAGATCACAACAAGACTGGGTCCAGAAGGATGGTGGATGACCGCAACATGGCAGGGGCACAGGGTCCCATGGCAAATGCTTCAAAGGAACAGGGAAGTTTTAGGGATATGGAAGAACAGCAGAAATAGCAATGGAGAAAAAGCTCACTGGAAAACAATGAAGATCAATGGAAAAAGCAGTAAAGAAAAATTTCATCGGAAAAAGCAGTGAAGAGCAAGAAGTATATATGCCAGAGTTAATGGCAAATGGGTATAGGAGAAAAAACAGCCACCCCTTAAATTTGGGTTGCTAAGGTAGTCATGGAGTCAAGAGGTTGTAGGTTTCAGTTAGTCCAAGAAGGTGAAGATGAAGGCAACACTCAGAGAAATAGTTATTAAGTGGCACCTATTCCTATAATATGGTAAGCTATGGAAACAAAATACAAATCCATGTCCAGAATAAAAAACTGTTAAGACATTTAGCTGAGAGCAATTTGAAAGTCTGACAACTTATTTAGCTTAATTTACAAATTATTATTGTAACAATATCCCCTACAGAGGTGATATTTACTACAGAGAATTTTTTGAAATTGAGTCTAGCTACTTTTAAATCCTTATTGTTTTTGTTGTTGTTGCTATTGTGTTTGTGTGTTTTGCAGGTAATGTACTATGTAAGATAATTTTCAAGAAAAGGTTATATACAAAGCTGTGTTTTCATATGTTAATAGGAGTTTATTTATGTGTGGGATATAAAAGCTAAGTAGGAGAAAGTCAGTGTTGGACAATTTTTGATAGGTTTCCTTTTTGAATAACTGTTGTTAGTTTCCCATCTGTTTCTGATGACAGGTTTTCATTTGGTATTAGAGTTTTCTATGGCACTTTCTTGTCTCTTTGTATCTTGAGGACATATCAATATTGACCTTTGTAATAGATGTATGACTATGTCTTACAGATTATGGAATTAATCTTCATTTGTTGATTATATTATATATCTTGCACATCCTCCCCTGTTTTTTCTTGCGCTGGGCATAGTTTCCAGCAAAATAGCTAACAAACATGTCCACATTCAGGCAGAAACTTTATTTAGAGAGAAATGTTAATATTGCTATAAGGGCTTGGACTTCCACTAGCCTTTCCTGATGGACATTGCTTGATATGTCCTTATGTCACATGATGGCCCATGTCATCTGACATTTGTTACCCTACTCCTGCTGTTATATAGTCATGTTGTGTCTGTTGTAGTTTGGGAATATCGCTAAGATGACATAAACCCCTAAAGCAGCCACATGTTTCCATCTTTTGTTATTGGGGTGATGATAGTTGTATAGCTTCAAATGCACACTTGAAGGGAGTTCTACATGGTGTCAGAAATACTAATATTTCTCCTATGAGGAAATATTTCAACAAAGAGTATACTCTTAACTTTGAAAAAATGTTAAATATCCCATGCCTTAGAGGAGATGTCATCTTATCCTAGATACTTTTGATAGGTCAATGTTGAACAAGCCTCTGGTCTAATGGCACTCAAAGGCTGGGCCCATGAGCTGGACCTGCTCTGGGTGCAGGGCCTGGAGAGAACTTGGAAATAAACTTACTAAAGGTAGGTTGGTTTTCATTATAAACATGTGCTGGCAATTCTAAATAAAGTCAGTAATAAAATAATTCTTCCCTCACAACTTTTTGTTGGTCTAAATTATAAACAACTATAATGGTGAGTTTTAATAACATCTATGTAAGCTTCAAATTAGCACATTTTTATTGTCCTTTAATAAACATTGTTTTCTACATGGAAGTTAATTTGGAGAACTTCCATTTATACTACTTGTTCCCCAACACAGATGGATTCAGCTATGTATGTTTCAAGATGAAGTTTGTTAAAGATTTGCAGTGTTGGAGTCTACTTCAGGCATTATTTGTGTTTTCAACTCCTATGGTATTACATATTCCTGTGTTTTAAACAGTAGATTTGAAATACAGATTATAGTGATTGTAAAAATGAAGATATAGAACTTGAGTTACTTCAATTCTATCATCCTATGTGGCCACTTAGAGTTTTAAATATGTGTTTAACATTTAAAACATGAACTACAAAGTTTTTGGTTGGTAAGTGCAATTTTAATTCGTATGTGAAATATTTTACTGAGATAGAATAATATCTTTAAAATTAAATTTAATTATTTCTAAATCATCAATTGTTTTAAAACCAAAGAACATATAAAAAGTTTCATCAATGATACAATTAGCAGTTTCCTAAATTACCCTCTTTGCAGATATTTTAATTTCATTAAAATCTACTTATTAGTTACTGGACAATTGCCTACATAATTTTTATGATTTTTCAATAAAAGAAAAAATAATTTTATCATATAGAGGAGAGGGTGTTAAAAATGATCCACTCTATGTGTTTTATATGCTAGATTTGCTACTTAGCTGAGCATTTCCATAAATATAATAGAATGGGATGCACGGTTTCATCATTACGAGAGTGTGTTTCCATGGAAAAATACGGAATCAGTTTGCTAAAGTACTTCAAATTCCTGCTGGAACGATGACCTGTAAGGACAGAATACATGTTTTTGGAAAACTAGATAGTGGAGATTCATTGGCAGCGTAATTATTTTAGTTTGCTGGGGCATATTGCAATCACTTTTATGTCTTCAGCACACCCTCAAAGGCTGACGGTGGAAACAGAAAGAAACATATTCGCACAGATCTGTGTTTGATTCTTAGCCCTCTCTTATTAGCTGTGTAATCTTGAGCAGCCTAACCTCTTTAAGCCTCAGTCTCCTCACCTATCAACGTGTAAACAAAATACCTAAATCCCAGAGGATTTTTGTGCAAATTAAATGCTATATAAGTAGAAATACAATCCGTACAATGTGCCCAATGAATGTGAGTGTCCTTTTCCTCTACTGCTTTTAAATACTCAGTTCAGTTATTACCTCTTTCTTTGTATAAATTTTCATTAGATGGACACTTTCCTTGTATTTTATGCTGATTTACTTAAGCACTAAGGAGGCCCATTGTAATTTGCTAATTAGTTTTGATATGTGACCTTGGTTTCTTGAACTCTTTGTTAAAGTTTCCGAATTATTTGTTAGCTGATTTAGAGATAAAATAAATGAGAAGCATTAATTTTTACTTTTTAAAAGTGTATCTATCTTTCAATTATAAGTAGATTCTTTTAGCCCCATGATTGGAGTCCTGGGGAAGGCATGGAGAGTGTGAGGTGCAGGGGTAGATGGTGAGTGGGAATTTAACAAAAGTTGATCCGTTGTAACAATTTTATATCACCCTCTTCCTAGGGAAGATTTGTATTGGTGGCCACGAAGCAGAGAGCTCTGTATCCCATTACCAGCCAATGAGTCATTCTGTCTCCCACAGATCCAAATAAAGTTTTACAGAATACCCTATGGCATGCCTTTCAAAATATATGAATGCCATAAAATCTATCATTTATTTTACCATATGAACCGACTCTGTCCCTTTTTCACCATTTGGGATAACAATTTCACCATGTGTTTTTGGCTCTTAGGTTATCATCAGATATATTGGAGTTCTCTGAGCTTTTCCATTCTAAGTCCCTATGGTATTTTCAGGAGTTTTACAACTTGGTTGTAAAAATTCACTCTAAACTGAAACTTGGCAAACAATATATTAATCTGGGAAGTTAATTTCTTTTATAAAGTCCAGAATCTGTTTAGCCCCTTTTTTGAGTTCTCAGAGACCTTGAAAAAATAAAGTGAGCAATTAAAGCTTTTTGTGTCTTTAAAAAAAATGCAATTGCATCTCTCCCAAATCCTTTCAACCCTATTTTTACAGGTGAATAGCTTATATTTTGGATTGAGTTCTGATATATTTTGAAACAGACTTTTTTTTTTTTGGCACAGTGAAATTGAGTAATTAAAAAGGGAACTAGGCTGAGCTTACCCTGTTACATCACTGGAATAACAAAGTATATTTAGAAAGCACAGCCTGTCTGAATTTACAAAAAGGACTAAGAATGTTAATATCATTGGATGTTCACTAACCTATAAATGAATCAGTGAGGAATATTTAAAACATCTGATGTGCCCTCAGTCTTACAAGAATTACCAAATGATGCTTAAACTTCTGTTTGTAGTTGATTCATTGGACTTTGGGAATGACTGTGCTGTCGCATAGTGCCCGCAAATGTGAATTAGACTTGCGTATTTGCAGTACCAGAGAATCCTGTCTCTACTTCCTCCTCCCTTTTAACAGGACAAGGCTCCAGGGATGAATTGTCCAAATAAGTGGATGACCAGAGGCAACCTACACTACCTGCTCATTATGCAGACAGGCCCTGGGATAAAAGAAGTCCAACAATGACAAATGACAAAACAAAGTAACATTTAAAATGGAGCTTCATGGCTTTAAAATACTTTCAGGTATGTTTTACTAAGGGAATGCAGAAGAGAATTAAATCATGGTCTTTGGAGTTTCACAGAACTGGTGGTTACTAGCTCTGTGGCCTTGGGGAAGCTACTTAATCTTTGCAAGTTTCATTTTGCTTATTCTTCAAAGTAGAGATAATAATAGTATGTATTCTTTTTGGGTTCTAATAAGGCTTAAAATGAGAAAATATATGTAATGCAATTAGCAGAATGATTAGAAAGGAGTGATTCATCAATATCAGTTTTTGCTATTATTAATGATGTTCAATTTTCTGGTTAACTTTATGAAGTAACTTCATTATTATTGTCATTACATTTTACAGATGAGAAAAATTTAGGTTCAAAATGGGTTTTAACTTGTGCGAGATCACATAGCTAGTGAGTATGCTTAGCTTGGTCTCAAATCTAGGTTTCCTGACAACAAACCTAATACTTTGTTCCCATGGTAACCACAGTGTTTATGAAGAAGACTATTTCTTACTCCTAAAGTTGGATCACTAGATATTTTATAGAGAACATAAGCACCTTTTTTTTTACTGAAAAAGTTAGTTAAAAATTGTAATGCACAGGCATCAGCATGTTTACTGGGTAGACTTTCAGGATCCTGAAGTTTTTTATTAAACTATATTAACTATGTACTAAAATTGTCCATAATGGATTTGATGTATCTGTTATAGTCTGTTAATAGCACCTGAGTTTTCCCAGTGGACTAGAGTGGCTTATAATGAAATAGCCATAACAGTTTAATAGCTTATTGATTTCTGTATCCATGGAATTCACTTGGTACTGTAGGTATTGTTCCTGCACAATGATCATGATGGCTACCACATACACATCTATATATTTGAGTAGGACAGTACTTGAGGAGGAAGGAGAGATAGGGAAGATTTTTGTTTTTAGTATGAAGTTAATCAGAACTTATTTAAAATAAAGGAGAAATGGGGCTGTATTCATCAGATTAATGTTGAAATGGTCTGCCAGCACTCTTGGTTGAGTTCTTCGTCCCAGCAGTGTCTGCTAGCTGAAGCAGCTGCTTTGCCCAAGGTCTTTTCTCCTTCCTGGAAGTAGCCTGTATCTAATGACTGGTTGATGCGGGTTTCACAGGCCCTGAGCTCTTTTGCCCCAGTTTGGTGTGCCTTGGAAGTGCCACGCCTGCTTCAAAGCTGCTGTGGCATTGGCTGAGGCCCCTGTTATAAGAGCTTTACAGTTAAACTTCTCCCTCTGCCCAGCCAGTCCTACTTCCTTCACTTGCTTACAAGTGTTGTCCCATACAGTGCTCCCAATAAACCTACTGCATGCAGATTTCCATCTGGGAGTCTGTTTCCTGGGAATCCCAACCTATAGGTGTAGATGGCTACTCCAGTCTTAGAAAAAATGAGGTTCTAAGGAACCAGAAGAGGAACTGAGGTGCGAATAAGTCAGGGATCTGGTGATTTCAGTAAGGGTGATCAGATCCTGAGTCAGAGGTAGCTAGACCAGCATGATCTTAATTGCAATGTATATGCTAATAACTCTTAAATCTCTACATCCAGGCCCAATCACTTAAAAAAAATCTCTACATGCATTTCTCCACTGGACATCTTCATGTGAATACTCAACCAGAACTTCATATTAAACATATGCAAAACTAATTTTATTCCTCAAGCTTCACCCCTTGATGCCTATTCTTGGTTAATTGCATTAACACTTCCAGATTACCCTATGTGTCCCTGTCACCCTGTCAATATTATACAGAAGGGAACATACTCATCTTTGTGAAAAGGGTCTGGATGAGTGACTTCTGAATTCTAGTATAGAAGGAGCTAGGAATAGAGAGAGATGTGGGTGTTTCTGGTTTGGCTCCAGTTCATTTCCAGGCTTTCCTGTTCTGGTTTCTGGTCTCATCGTTATGTCCCACTGTTGCCACAGCCTCCACATGGGTACAGACTGTATGTCTGTCCCTCCTGGGACAGTTTTCATTGCTAACAAATGGACCCATTCTCCCATCTTGCAGTGATAGCTCTTGGGTTATTCTAATTAGAACATAAAACACTGGTTGGTAGACTCTTAGGAGATTTTTTGAGGTATTCTCCACATCATGGGAGTTAGGCAATGTCCCAGGCTAAATCTTACTTGAAGGCAAGATTTCACAAAAATTAATGAGCTTAAAAATTGAAACAATATTCCAAAGTTCCTTCCATCAGGTTTTTTTTTTTTTCTCTATACAACCAGGTAAACACCTATAGTAACATGTCAGTAGCCTAGAAAGGATGGGAACTAAAGGAAGAAGGTGGTTGAAGAGTGGAGGAAAACTCATTAGGAAGCTGCTTTGTTAATTCTTTTTGTAATGTAGTAGGCTGTGAGCTTCTTTATACCTGGGAAACAGCAGGAAGTCCTCTTGCTAAACCAAAAGCCCTGAAGACAGAACTAAAGGCCATGGAGAATTACTCCTGGGCAGATGTAGTACTGTGTCCTAATGAAGGAACTTATAAAATTTGCCTGTCTGATTTCAGAACTGCTATGGATCAGTGACTTCTGATCAGTCTCTTATTTTTCCCCATTTTGAATAGGAATGCTTATGTTGGTTATCTTAGTCTTGTCCTTCTACTATATAAGTGTTTTAGGGGGCTAGACATCCCCTCATTTCTTTAGTTTAAAATCTATAGATAAGGGGAAGTATACCTGAGGTGCTATAAAGAACCAAATCTGTCCAGCCTTTTGTCCCCTGTATCTGATTTAAATCAATACATTCTAGACTTTCACTTCATGTTATAATGCAATAAGACTTTGGGGGTCTTTGATAGTAGGTGAATATATTTTGCACGTGGGAAGGATGTGAATCATTAAGGATCAGAGTGAGGGTGCACTGTGGTGGCCAGTCTCCAAGAAAGCCTACAATAATTCCTGCATCCTGGTACACATGGTCTTTTGCAGTCCCCTCTCACACTGTACTAGGGTTGGTCTGGGTGGCCAATAGAATATGACAGAAGTAATGGTACGTCTCTTCTGATGTTAGGTTATAAAAGGTTGTGACTTCTGTCTTGGTCTCTGTAAGATTCGTGTGTTTCCTGGTTCTTATCCCAGTATCAAAGAATGGTTACTGAGACTGAGTTGACAGAATAAATGAGCAGACCAAACAGATACAAGTGAGCCAAGCACCAAGATTTATTAAATGCAGTATGTTCCAGAGAGAGAACAGATCTATCTTTGCCAGTGGAGATGACCCTGAGTTTTCAATACATACATTTCTATATGATAAATGGATTGCCCCTCTTCTCTTTAGGTGGTGTTTCCATTTCTCTGCCCTTGGGTGGCTGACAAGTTTCCTTACATAACTTCCTCAGTCTGGATGCGTGAGTCCTCCCAGAATCCTTTACAAAAGCCCACTAATGGGGGCTAAACCACAAGGCTAATTAGATGGTAATGAACCCCGAGTCAGTTGAGGACAGCTGAAATCCCCTAGTACACATGCTCCAGTTTACCCCATTTGTGGCCTTGACCATATGTCCAGTTTGCAGTTTCTCGATCTCTTTTTGGTGGTCAGTTCTCATATTCTCCTATGAAAGACAAAACATCTATTCCTCTTTCTCTCTCCTTATCCCTTCCTAACAGTCTCTGTCTCTTGGATCACTCTCTCTGGGGCATAGCATGTGCCATACTTTTGGGACAGTCAGGCCCACATGGGGAGGAACTGAAGCATCTGGCCAAGAGCCGGCATGGAACTGACACCTGCCAACAATGCTGCACATGAGCTTGGAAGTGGATCCCCCTCCAGTCTAGCCTTCAGATGACTATAGCCCTGACTGATGGCTTGACTACATTCTCTGAAGAGACGCTGAGCCAGAACCACCTTGAACTCTTTACCTACAGAGACTGTGAAGCAAAACTTCAGAAAGTGCTGCCAAAACTTTGCTTCAAAAATTCACCTTAAAAACTACCAGGTCACTGCACTTGGTTGCCTCAGAAGCCCCTGCCAGCCTCCACCCAGCATTTTGCCTGTATTATAGTCAGAAAGAAAACAACTGGGACTACAGCTTATACTTCCTTTCAGAGATGACTAAGATATGGCTATTCATCCTGTTATCTCAGTCACTGCCACATGTCTGTTCCCCTTGGTCACCCATCATCAGCAGAGTCATAGTCCGCTGTCCTATTCTGACTTAACCAACTCACTTTTCCCTCTTTCTCAAGCCCTTCCTCTGCCTTCTGGGATGGCTGCTCTTTGTTCAATTCTTCATTCTCCAACTTTTCTTGGAACTATCCTTTATCACTTTGCTCTAACTGAAGCCAGGATTTCTCTTAAGGCCACTACTTCTCTGTAGCCTCCTCAGGGAATTCTGGTTTTATCTCTTATTACTCACATATCTCTGGGACAGGAAGTGAGGTAGGTATACTCTATACTGCGATTAGGTTCTCTCTCTCTCTCTCTCTTTCTCTGACATACACACATTACTCTGTTGATGGATATGGCATTTATTAATATTTATGCCATCCTCTTCCTCAGCTCATTGCTTTCATCTACTGACCCTCATTTCATTTATTGAAGTTCCTGGCTCAAAATAATATTCTTTTTCCCAGATGCACAGATTATTCTGGATAACTTGAGCATCCATACAGATAAACTGCCTAAGACTCTCTGTTCTTTGATCACATGTGGTCTCGCCTCAGATACCCAGGACCATACCTGAAAAAATATACCACTTTTGAAATGTTGACTTCAAACACTCCACTCTCTGATAAAACCATTTTATTCTCCATATCACTTACATAACTTCTCTCAATGCCAGTATTTTTTGATAGCCTTGAGACTACTAATCTGTCATCCCTTGCTATTTTCTTTCTACCCATCAGCCCCTTCTTTTCTCTTTTTGGTCTGTCCAGTTTTGGCAGCCCATTGCTATGAGTGTGCATTGAAACTATCCTCTTCCTCTGTCATTCCAGCAAAACTCCAACACTGAATGAATTCTTCTGTCAGCTGCCTCAATGCCAACATACAAGAAGGTTAACTTGGCTGG